TAGGTCCAGCCCCACCATCCTACAAGGTTTGCTAGTAAATAATTCTTCTTAGACATCAGGAAGAAATTCCTTCCTAGGAGGGTGGTGAGAGCCTGGCCCAGGTTGCCCAGGGAAGCTGTGGCTGCCCCATCCCTGGCAGTGTTGAAGGGCAGGTTGGATGGGGCTTGGAGCAGCCTGGGCTGGTGGGAGGTGTCCCTGCTTTAAAAAGCATTACCTAAATAATCTCAATAAACCCATTATTTGGAAAGCTGGGGAGGGGCTTGGGACAAGGGCAGGGAGGGATGGGATGAGGGGGAAGGGTTTTCAACTGAAAGAGGAGAGATCTCGGTGGGATATTAGGAAGAAATTCTTCCCTGTGAGTGTGCTGAGACCCCCTGCCAACCAAACTCCTTACTGTCTCAATGGTGGCCGTTATTTTAACGTGTTTCTCTTCATCTTCATCTTCCACCCTGCAGAAGTTTTTCACTTGCAGCCAGCTGATGTCATATGTAAAAGCAGTCAAATTGCCACTCGCCACATTGACAAAGCTGTAAAAAGGAGCAAAGGTGTCAAAGACAGGAAAACTACACAACTGCTAAATATCAAAGCTCTCAAACAAACCAGCAATGCCTCAGTCATTCAAGTCACACAGTGAGAGGCCTCAGGGAACACCTAGGCACCCTTGGGCTGGGTAAACCATCAAACACTACCTTTTGGTAACTGGCTTTCAATGGCACTTGAGCTTCTGAAGGCACTTCAGAGTCCAAGTCACTTTCTGAGGCTGAATTTAATGCTTCTGGTAAAATATTATCAAAGCATTCCTAGTGATAATGAAAATTTGGCCTTTTCTCTGTCTCTGCTAGTGTATTTTAACCATGTAAACAGTTATTGGAGAAGAACCCTCTCACTGCTCCGTTTAATCCCTGTTTTTCAGTACTGTTTCAACAAGGAAGTCAGAATTTATGCAGCAAGCACACAGACATGTCAGAGCTGCACACTACAAAATTAAATGAGACCAGAAATTCGCTCCTGGCAACTTCAGGTTCAGCTGGGAGATGCAGCAGAGTCCCACACTGCTCTGATCCTGCTGTGTTCTCACGTCCCACCAAGTCCCTCAGAAAAACCACACAGCTCAAGACCTCAGAAATTCAGGTTATGCCAAAGATGGGACAGTGGGCACAGGTTGTTCTCACTAGGTTTTCCCCCTTCCAAAGTGCAAGTCCAAGGGTGTTACAGCTCTGCACTTCCAGACCAAAGAAATACCTAATAGTTGGCAAGAAACTGATCCCCAAGGCTTAAGACTCCTGTTATCCTGAATGAAAAAGCTCCAAAGAGTTTAAAGAATAAATATAAGCAAGCAGAAAGTAACAAAACAGGTTTTGCCAAATTTGCTTTTTTGCTTAATTATACTTCTAATCCAGATGGTTACCTCTGGTCATGGCTGTCCAAGATCAGTACTGAGCATCCATCTGTCAGACCAACACTTCTGACTGTTTCCTTCATATCTTCGTCCAGAAAAACTTCCCAGTTCTTGGCATCTTTCTCTGGCCCCGAGCTGTTCTTCAGAATGATTCCTCCTGAGGGGGCTAAGGCTCTGTGGAGATCAGCCAGCTTTGTGCTGCAGGAGAAGACCTGCTGGGACTCAGTGAAGTGCTGACCCTTCCCTCCTTCGTTGTGCTCTGCCAGCCGAAGAACGTTGATGACCACAGGCTCGTGGTCAGGGCCTGTCATCACCTTTGTTCCACCAACCTGAGGTGAGGAAGGGAAGATCTATGCAGTGGGGATCAACAAAAGACAGACTGGACAGCAATCATGAGAAGAATCAAGTTATTGAGACAAAACTATGGGCCCTGTCTCCTCATCAGCAAGTTTGCTAAGGTGGTTGACACCCTCGAGGGAAGGGATGTCATACAGAGGGACCTGGCAGGCTGGAGGAGTGGGCAATGCAAAACTCATGAAGTTCAACAAGGCCAAGTGCAGGGTCCTGCACCTGGGTTGGTCCAAACCCAGGCACAAATCCAAGCTGGGGGGAGAACGGATTGTGAGCAGCCCTGAGGAGAAGGACCTTGAGTTGGGAAGAGATGAGAAGCTGGAGATGAGGCACCAGTGAGTGCTGGAGCCCTGAGGGCTGCATGTCCTGGGCTGTGTCAAAAGAAGTGTGGGCAGCAGGGCCAGGGAGGGGAATCTGCCCCTCTGCTCTGCTCTGGTGAGAGCCTCCTGGAGTGTTTTGTCCAGCTCTGGAGCCCCCAGCACAGGAGAGACATGGAGGTGTTGGAGAGAGTTCAGAGGAGGCCATGGAGATGATGGGAAGGCTGGAGCAGCTCTGCTCTGGGGACAGGCTGGGAGAGTTGGGGTGTTCAGCCTGGAGAAGGGAAGGCTCCAGGGAGACCTTAGAGCACCTTCCAGTGCCTGAAGGGGCTCCAGGAAAGCTGGGGAGGGACTTGGGACAAGGGCAGGACAAGGGGTAATGGATTAAAACTACCAGCATTTCCAAACATGTGTCTGGAGATGGCCTCTGATCTCTTCAGGACTGACAAGGAGAGAGAACATGTGGATCTTTTTACCTCTTTCCCATTCCAGACGAAGATGTCCGCTCCATCCACCAGCCCGATGCCATCCAGGGTCAGCTCATCTCCTGAAAAGGGGCAAAACATTCACTTCTGCTCCCCTGGAAAAACAGGGGCAGCAGGTAAACTGGAATACTCTGACACACTCTGGCTCAAGTTACAGAAGGTGCAGTGTGAGTGACCTCCTGTACATTCCAAGCCCATTCTGTGCAACACCAATGCCCATCCTGCAGCTCCTTCCTGCTCCAAGTCAGAGTTTTTTTAAGTCACTTATTTATCAAACTGCACTAACATCTGCAGGAATATTTCCAGCAGCTGTGAGCACCTCTGCATTTTGATGCCAACAGCATGGGAAGCTGCATTAGGTTTTGGTAGAACTCCAAGTTTCTGAAACAGATCACAAAGACACTAAAATCTAAGAAAGCCTGAACAGGCTTTTGAAGACGAAACACCCAGGACTGAGTAACAGTGCAAAGCTGGAGATAGAACTCATGACTTTACCATGCTCATCAACTCTCAATAAATCATTTTACTCTTAATGTAACCATTTTCCTTTGCAAAAATTTCCTCCTTCAGCCTGAATCTAACCTGCATTTGTCTTTGGTGTCACCCTAGCTCCTCTCCTCCACCCACCAGGTTAACAGTAGGAAAGCAAACAGGGATAAGCAAATCAAGGTCAAAAACCAGACTGATGTATTTTTGTCAGCAAATGTGTTTAACTTGCATAAGATTTGCAGCCTCACTGCATTTCACAAAAGGTTACAAAGAAAAGCCTCCCTCAAACCCCTCATTTCTCTAATAAGAGTGTCCTAAATAACTCAAAAGCAGTGAACTTGCAAGTGAGTCTGAAGAGTGCTCAGTACATGTGAAATGCTCAATGAACAACACACATAAAGAACATGGAAACCTTGGATGTGGAAGTCTTACCATCAAGCACCTGGTACAGATGCAGTCCTGCTGGTAAAGGCTTGGCAATACTGAGGGTCATGTCTCCTTCCCAGGATTCCAACATCTGATTGGGAAGAATAAAAATGATAAATACACTTTTTAACAGCAGCAGGGAGTAACTCACATCACTCCAAATCACAACGTTGCTGGAAGCTGTAACAGCCTGGCCACTTTGGCACTTAACAAGTCCCTGCTAATTACTTCAAGAAGCTCAGCTACACAGAAGACACTCCAGCACTTGGGCCTTCCAGACTAGTCACCAGGTAGACAAAAATAGAAGTTTCACCTGGACACCAAGCAAAGGTTGGGAAGCAGAGGAAAAACAAACACCTGAACACCTCCAGGGATGAGGCAGCCACAACCTCCCTGGGCAACCTGTGCCAGTGCCTTCCTACCCTCATGGAGAAGAATCTCGTCCTCATGTCTGACCTAAATCTCCCCTCTTTCAGTTTAAAACCTTATCCCTTGTCCTATCCCTGCCCTCTCTGGTGAAAAGCCCCTCCCCAGCTTTCCTGGAGCCCCTTCAGGCACTGGAAGGTTCTCTAAGGTCTCCCTGGAGCCTTCTCTTCTGCAGGCTGAACAGCGCAACTCTCCCAGCCCATCTCCAGAGCAGAGCTGCTCCAGCCCTCTGAGCATCTTTGTGGTCCTTCTCTGGCCCTTCTCCAACAGCTCCGTGTCTCTCCTGTGCTAACGGCTCCAGAGCTGGACAGAGTACTCCAGGTGGGGTCTCATCAGAGCAGACAATCCCTCCCTGGCCCTGCTGCCCACTCTTCTTTTGCTGCAGCCCAGGACACAAGTGGCTCACAGGGCTCCAGCACTCACTGGTGCCTCATCTCCAGTTCCTCACCTCCAGGTCCTTCTCCTCAGGACTGCTCTCCAGCCATTCTCCCCAACCTGTATTTATGCCCAGGGTTGGGCCAACCCAGGTGCAGGACCCTGCACTTGGCCTTTCAAGTCTACATGAAGTTTCATCAACTTCATGGCTTGTTGAATACTTCAAGAACAGCCCTCAAACCCACGTCTCCTTCTGTGTCAACTCACATTGTTTAAAGCCACCCAAAATTCCATTTGCTGTTGAAAATCTCTCAGTGACCTAAAAGAACTTGGCATAAACACATTTGCAAATGTTGTTGCAGCCCAAATAAAAAGGAAGAGCTGAGATACAAGTACCTGGAACACTGACTGGCGAAGGTCTCCCAAGGTTTTTCTTCTGTCAATAGTCAAATCCACAACACTCTCCTTCCAAGTAAGCAAAGGATGCAAAGCCCCATTGTGAAACTGGTAACAGGAGCTCAAATGGAGATGCAAATTGATGCCATTGTTTGCTGAGTCACATTCCTCTCTGGGAAAGAACAACACAAGAGCAAACTTGGTGAACTTAGCACCTCAAAGAGCAACACCAGAACAAAAGTTTAACACCTACAAATGGCTGGTTTATCTCTGAGATGCTGCTGTTTCACAGGAAAGTTGATCATTCCCCCTTCTCCCCATGGAGAACCCCCCCAATAAGCATCACTAAAATAATTTCTTCCATTCTCCTTCCAGAAATGCACTGATTGTCACCAAAACCTGGGACAATTTGAAACTATCAGTAAGTTTCTCTTGAAGCTCTGTAGAATGCCTAGTTTTGCCCCCAGCAGGGAGGCAGGGAACCAGTAAAGGCAAGATCCCAACACACAAGTTATACACACAAGTCATCATAGAATGGTGAAGGTTGGAAGGGACCTTAAAGATCATCAGGTTCCAACCTCCCTGCCATGACCAGGGACACCTCCCACCAGACCAAGCCTCATCCAACCTGGCTTTGAACACCTCCAGGGATGGGGCTTCCACAGCTCCCCTGGGCAACCTGTGCCAGTGCCTTCCTACCCTTGTGGAGAAGAATTTCTTCCTAATATCTCACTTAAATCTCCCCTCTTTCAGTTTAAAACATTTACCCCTTGTTCTATCACTGCCCTCTCTGGTGAAAAGCCCCTCCCCAGCTTTCCTGTAGGACCCCTCCAGGCACTACAAGGTGCTCTAAGGTCTCCTCCAAAGCATTTTCATCTCCAGGCTGAACTCCAACTCCTTCAGCCTATCTCCAGAGCAGAGCTGCTCCAGCCCTTTGTCTATACTACAATAAAATACATAGATTTTACTGTATCTGTCCTACATCATGATGCTCTGCAGACCAATGTCCAAAATGAAAACACCAGAATATATCCCTCTGTAACACTGAATCACTTGAATATCTGACTCTACCCAATGAGCTCCTTTCCTTTCAAATCACTTTGGAGATCTGCAGATGAAAAATACTGTTGAAAAAGACTGGTACAGTCACATGAATATACCTCTTTTTTTGCAGCTCAGTATTAGCAGCATTCATTTCATTCAGAAGGTGTTCAGGAATTTGGTACCTTGGATTTCCTCGAGCTGCAACAAATAATACAGGCTGGTTTGGCCTCAGCTGCTCCAAAGGTGTCTTGGCAAACAAGAAAAGCAATCAAGAGGAGACACTGCAGCACAGGCACCACTGACAAGTCAGAGCAAAGATGCTGCATCCTTTTCTAACAGAGAAAAATCACACTGCAAATGACACAAAGAACAAACCAAGTGGTTTTTCCATCCTCCCATCAATCCTTCCCTAAAGGAAAGTGACCCAGGAATGCTGTCAGCAACAATTTGAATTGGTTCCAGCAGATGTTCTGCTGGAACTTGGGAAATGTAGTAGAAAAAAGTGCCAGCTACAGCCAGTTAACTGGTCACCACCTCCTTGGAGTTAACCTCTATCTTAGTTAACTCTTTTTCCAAATGATCACTAAAAAGATAATTTTATCTTGAATCCTTGGCTCACTGGAGAATAAACTGGCAATGAAGAAAGCCCCCAGAATATCAAGAAGAGCTTTGTGTACCTTCAGGTGGTCTTTTCAACTGAGATTTTCGATAGAAGAGCATGTAGGCACTCTCTTTACCCTGAAACTGCTTCTCAATATCCTTCTCCTTGATGGGCTGGACCTTGGAATCGTTCAGATCAAACCAATGGGGAGCAGCAGAATTCTCCTTTAGCCTTGGAGGGTTTTTTTCTGAATTCCAGTGGACATCATTCTCCTGAGGAGGGCTTTGGAGACCTTGCCCTTCAGAATCTGACTGAAACAGGAGCTTGTGTTTTTCCCTCAGGCCAACCTTATCTTCATCAGGACTGAACTGAAATATCTGAGGATGGTTCTGCAAGTACTAAAAGGAAAGCAAAGACAAGATGAAGACAACCAGGTTTCAATAGAGCTGCTTCACCTGGTTCAAGCTGGCACACAAACCCCATCCCTTCCAACTTGGTGTTATAATTGCTCCTCATGAATTCCCTCAGTTTAGACAGGAAAATGTGATTTTCCTCCCTCACTTCTCTGCCTTATCTTCTATGTGCTATTCCTGGTTTTCTTTACCCACTCTGCTCTAAGCCTTCATTTTAACACCATGGAGATACTTCAAGCTTGGTGGCCAAATTGCACAAAACCAAACTGTATCTCTTGAGGACAGGCAGGGGAGGGTGGTTGTGGACACCAACCATGCTCCAATTCCCCCACAAAACCACCCAACCCCCTAAAAAATACCCAACAAAACCAATCCCCCTTACAAGCTTTCCCTTACAATCATAATCAAAACCATACTCCAAAAAAGTGTAAAACAATTTAGTTATATCAGCAAGGCAAGTCCTGCACTGCTCCATGTGCTGCTCTTACAGATCTGGCAGTTGTGAGAAGTCAGCCTTGGTAACATTCCCATTAGCTCTCCAACTTGGAAATGGTTAGTACTGGGTGGCTCACAACTGGTTTCTATCACTTCCCTATCCACCTTCCAAGAGCAGCTACCTCTGAGGAAGACTCAAATCCAGGCTGCACAACTACTTCTAGCTAATTATTTGTGAAAACTGCACAGTCAGACATGAATTTTCCACACCATCTCTAACACAAACTTCAAGTTTTCTTCTGAAAGCAGCAAAAAAGACACTAAACCAACTTGGCAGACAGTAAAAACTGGCAGTGTTCCTTTTAGGGACATGCCCTCATCAACCAGAAAGTGGCACATGATTTTTAAAGCTCTGTTTCTGTGATGAAATTGTGTGTTTCTCCTTTGATTCTCACCAGGGCTTCTGTGTTCAAGTGGTGATGGTGTTGCTGCTTCATACACAGACACGAGTGGAACAAAGGTCAGTAAGTAAGGTTAATTCTTTTCCTTCCCAGCCATATAGATGGAAAAATAAAAGATCCAAGCTTTTAGGCAGATAATCCTGGGAGAATCTGATCTGTGTTCCCCAGTCTACCAATTTATCTTGCCAACCTCTTACATGTGGCTCTATCTTGCTAGTCCAAGGATCTGTATTTTCATCCTAGTGACTAATCAACAGCACTATAAAATTATCTGAACAGTAAAAAAAACAGATCAGTGTGCAGGGAAGTTACCTTTCTTAACACTCCATATTGTTTTCTGTATTTCTTATTCCACGAAACCCCTTTTTTCTCCAATAATTTCTGCCTTAATTGGTTCACAGGAATCTGTTGAGATTCTTCCTGCAGAGAAATTCAAATCTGTGATAACCAAGACTACAAAAGTCAAGGGATAAAGACATTTCTGAAGTGCTTAAATTACTCCTGTTTGTTAATAAGCCCAAGTAACATCACCTTTTGCAAGAGCTTAGATAAGCAATTAAAAAAAATACTCAAAAAGGGCCATTTTTTGGTATGAAGAGCTACTATTAGTGTTAAAGTCAGGTTAAGTGACAAGTTTTATCTGCTTGACAAGTTCAGCAGACTTCTGTACACTAAACCCCTCCTTCCAGGTTCCCTAATATCACAACCAAAGCAAGAAACTCCTTACATACCATACCTCTGCTAAAATCCCTTTCAACATCACCACTGGATTTTCCACTTCTTTGGCATTTTGGGGGTCTCTTGAAGCCTTATCTTCAATCAGCCTCTGCTCTTCCTCCTGCACAAGTAAAACAGGAGACTCACAAAAGCTGTTTCACACACAACTAGTGGCTCTTGATTGCAGGCTGCCCTCACTTTAGCATCCACCATCCAGAAAGGTGAAGGAAGTTTTGATAAGCTGCCCCTGCCACCTGCTACAGACTGTTTCTTTTCATACAGAATACCCATTATCATTTATTTGAACAATTTTAAAAAAGGCATCTGAATTATTTACAGACATACTGAGGCAAATGAGGCTTCTCCATGAGGGAAGAGAACAAATGCCTCACTAAAATATGGATGAGTTGGGATGTGCATTTCATCCCCTGGGTCTTCATACTGTTTTGGAAAATGAGACATGTCAAGCAAGGAAGAAAAAGCCAACAGGACTTACTTGTAACTGCCAGTTTCCTAATTCATCCACATCTCTGATATAAACATGATAGTGTCCTCCATAGCAGCCACCTTTGTGTATAATAACAGAGAAGAGCTCATACATGTACTCTGAATCATCCATTTCAGTCTTTAAAAGGAAAAACAATAACAACAATCATATGTATCAGTAAGTCTGTCACACAAGGGTAGTTCTACACCACCTGGATGGCTCCAGGTGTTTCTCAGTGTGCGTTCACATGAGCAGAGATTGGAAAGGTTCTTCAGTGCCAGGAAATACACTCATGGACTGACACAAGCCATGGACAGAGCACAAGCTTATTAAGCAATCTTTTCATCATAGAATGGTGAAGGTTGGAAGGACGTTAAAGATCATCAGGTTCCAACATCCCTGCCATGAGCAGGGACACCTCCCACCAGACCAGGCTGCACAAGCCTCATCCAACCTGGCCTTGAACACCTCCAGGGAGGGGACATCAACAACCTCCCTGGGCAACCTATTCCAGCACCTTCCTAACCTCACGGTGAATAATTTCTTCCTGATGTCTCACCTACATCTCCCCTCTCTCAGTTTAAAACCACCACTCTTTGTCCTGTCCTTGCCCTCTCTGGTAAAAGCCCCTGCCCAGCTTTCCTGGAGCTCCTTCAGGCTCTGGAAGGTGCTCTAAGGTCTCCTTGGAGCCTTCTCTTCTCCAGGCTAAATTCTCAACAATATTGAAATTTCAAAATTTAAAATAACAAGCCATTGATGCAAGTAATAGAACAGATCAACCTGTTTGTTTATAAGCAGGTTTCTTTTGTTTAGAAGACTAGAGGAAAAAATAACAAGCCACACTTTTACAGATACAAACCAATGAAAAAAAATAAATTCAAATGCTTCCTCAAATGCAAACACTGAGAAATTTCCAAACTTGCTTTGCAACTTTTCAGTAAGAGAAAAGCCTTTCACAAAAGCACAGCCTCCACTAAAGATTTTTTTTCTGTATTTTAAAGATCAAAAATTGCCATCAAGCAGCTCAGCTGGTGACCAAAATTAATGTATGTGAATGCAAAGACTGATTCTTAAGAAAACTGAAACAACTGTAAGCTCATAAAACGTTCATAAAAAACAATAACAACAATCATATGTATCAGTAAGTCTGTCACACAAGGGTAGTTCTACACCACCTGGATGGCTCCAGGTGTTTCTCAGTGTGCGTTCACATGAGCAGAGATTGGAAAGGTTCTTCAGTGCCAGGAAATACACTCATGGACTGACACAAGCCATGGACAGAGCACAAGCTTATTAAGCAATCTTTTCATCATAGAATGGTGAAGGTTGGAAGGACGTTAAAGATCATCAGGTTCCAACATCCCTGCCATGAGCAGGGACACCTCCCACCAGACCAGGCTGCACAAGCCTCATCCAACCTGGCCTTGAACACCTCCAGGGAGGGGACATCAACAACCTCCCTGGGCAACCTATTCCAGCACCTTCCTAACCTCACGGTGAATAATTTCTTCCTGATGTCTCACCTACATCTCCCCTCTCTCAGTTTAAAACCACCACTCTTTGTCCTGTCCTTGCCCTCTCTGGTAAAAGCCCCTGCCCAGCTTTCCTGGAGCTCCTTCAGGCTCTGGAAGGTGCTCTAAGGTCTCCTTGGAGCCTTCTCTTCTCCAGGCTAAATTCTCAACAATATTGAAATTTCAAAATTTAAAATAACAAGCCATTGATGCAAGTAATAGAACAGATCAACCTGTTTGTTTATAAGCAGGTTTCTTTTGTTTAGAAGACTAGAGGAAAAAATAACAAGCCACACTTTTACAGATACAAACCAATGAAAAAAAATAAATTCAAATGCTTCCTCAAATGCAAACACTGAGAAATTTCCAAACTTGCTTTGCAACTTTTCAGTAAGAGAAAAGCCTTTCACAAAAGCACAGCCTCCACTAAAGATTTTTTTTCTGTATTTTAAAGATCAAAAATTGCCATCAAGCAGCTCAGCTGGTGACCAAAATTAATGTATGTGAATGCAAAGACTGATTCTTAAGAAAACTGAAACAACTGTAAGCTCATAAAACGTTCATAGCTCAATTTATACACAACCTTATCAGACAAAAACAATCCAAACATAAACTCCAACTTCCAGGTGATAATCTTCCTTTCAAGGAATCATCAGATCAAATTTGTACTTGTAGCTGATACAAGGTATTTCCCACTCAGTTAGAAAGTGGTGCTTTGGAACCACATTGGAATTCTGAGAATTTGGAATTAGAGACAGTGCAGAACCCCACACAGTTTCTCAGTTTGCCCTGACAAAACACAGAACAAAACTGTCAACAGCTTAACCAGCTCAACCCAGGACAAGAAGTTGTCCCCGAAATCCAGGTTCTCTGCTGAGCATATAGAAACTTTTAACAGACCTAACAGTACCAACCTGCTCACAGAAAGGCCTCAGATTGATCTGGATGGGGAAGGTGTAGCAGCTTGTTTCCTTGTACCGTTCACACTTCTCAAAGTCAAAGTTGAATCTCAGGAGGGACACGGTGAGGAAGGGCGGCAGCTTCCGCAGCTTCGCCGACTGCAAAAGGATTTTAACAGACTGTGAGCACACAGCTCTATCAGAACTCTGTTTCCACCTTGCTATGGTCAACTGGTCTTCAACCAAGCCTTGTTACAACCAGGCTTTCTCCATTTCCCTACCAACTAGACAGCCTAAAAGGAATGAAGACCCTCTGTTAAGCCTTGCAGCTTCCCCGAATGGTGTCATCACACTTAATCCTCCTACAGAAAAAACAAAGGAGGACATGGCTGAAGTTCTAGTTGGTGATCACATTCCCATAGTCCATGTGTTCTTTGGGAGAGGATGGCCTTGAACTTTACACTAAGAACCAACTGTCTCAGACCCCTGAGTTTGTGCTCACAGGTGAAGTCAGACCACCCTTTCCAAGTCAGGCTCCAGATGCTGCCTACACACTTGCTCCTGCTCCAAGGCCTCCTGCTCACCTCCATGAAGACTATTCCAGTGACTTCAGAGGGGATTCCCAGTTCCCTGGGGTTGCAGTCTGTTGCTGAGTGACTGTTGGTCTGTCTCCAACAAAAATGGTTTGAAATGTCACCAGAATTTACCACAACGTCACCTTGCTTACTATCTGCCAGGCTGCTTGAAGAAAAGGGCCTTGACTAAGGTCTGTGGGCTGTGGTAGGTGAACAGGATGCTGTGCCCGAGTGGTATGAGGTAGATGTGTGTGGAGGGTAGGAGGACCCTCCAGCCAGCCACAGGACAACCAGGGAAGAGTTAAAAAAGACCTTCCAAGGCAGGAAAGCCACCACAAGCCTTTTTAGGAAGGAAGAATATTAATAGAGATCAAAAAATGTGGTGTGTGAGCACATCAAGAACCTTGGCGTAAAGCAAAATCAAACATTTCAGCTGCCCCATCCCTGGCAGTGTTGAAGGGCAGGTTGGATGGGGCTTGGAGCAACCTGAGCTGGTGGAAAGTGTCCCTGCCCATGCAGGTGATTGGATCTAGATGGTCTTTAAGGCCCTTTCCAACCCAAACCATTCCATGATTCCAGAGTCTAGTGGCACAGATTTTGCATATTCTTCCACATTTAGGGTGGGGGAAAAAAAAGACTGTACCATGAAAATTTGCTGAAGTTCTGGGACATCAGACTCTTCAACTCCTAATACCTCTAGAGGCTAAGACATGAAAGAGCAGAAAATAACATCCATGGAGTACTGAAGGGAGAGAGGAACAGAATGGGTAGGAATGGGCCACCTTCACTTTGAAACAGACCTTCCTAAAGCAGCCACCAAGCCTAGAGTGACCCAGCTGGCACCTCACCTGCTGAAAGTGCTGACTGTCACTGCAGGCCGCTGTGACCATGCCCATCATGCCAGCAATTGCCCAGCTATGTGCCTTCTCACCCAAATTTGAAGCTGCCAGCATCTTATCTTGCCCTGGTGGCCACATGGAAGAGTTATCTGTTACCAACGGTTACCTTGCACTCAGCTGAACCCAGCAAAGTTTAACCCTTATAACCAAGCCACGTGAGGCAGTGGCAAATGTTCCTTCAACTCCCAAGTCACTGATTAACTTGCCCTCAACTTGCCTTTGCACCCACCCCCTTCCACAGGAAGGGTGCTGCAAGCTTTGGATTGTGCTCCTCCTGCTGCAGAAGAGGGTCAGATCAAGAGGCAAAAGAGCTTTGCTGTTGTGAAGGTCACAGAATGAGTTGGGTTGGAAGGACCCTAAAGATCCTCTAGTTGCAACTCCCCTGCATGGGCAGGAACACCTCCCACCAGCCCAGGTTGCTCCAAGCCCCATCCAACCTGCCCTTCAACACTGCCAGGGATGGGGCAGCCACAGCTTCCCTGGGCAACCTGGGCCAGGCTCTCATCACCCTCACAGCCAAGAATTTCTTCCTAATGTTCAACCTAAATCTCCCCTCTTCATGTTTTGATCCATTACCCCTTGTCCTCCTGCTACAAGTCCTTGTAAAAAGTCCCTCCTCAGCTTTCTTGTAGACCCATTTCAGGTACTGAAAGGCCACTACAAAGTCTCTGTCCATGAACAGCAGGAAAAAGGAGCTACTTTTTAATTAAAAAAACTGAAGACGTGAAAAATTAGCACAGAAAAAAACTCCAAACATCACTTCGTGTCATTTTGGAAAAAGAGCAACTCAATGACCTTCAGCTCTCAAAGATCTGTTCTTCTGGGATACAAAACAGATAAAAAGTCTTACATTCAATCACTCTGTTGTGGAAACCAGTCCAAAGTGCTGCAAAGCAACAACCAGGGAGAAGCTGGCAGCACAAGGATGCTGCAGGCTGCCCTGGCTGGCAGACCAATGTCACCAACATAAGCCCTCTGGGGAATATTAGTGTGAAACATCTGAAGCTTCCCCTGTTTTTTTTAAAACAACAACCCAATCTCAACAGTTCCCACCCTCAGTTGAGCACTGATCAGAAATAATTCATTAGCTAGAAGATGATCACAAAGCAGCATAACTCAACAGATAAACAGATTGGCTTCCTTCTGAAGTACCTTCAAGCTACAGCCTGAAGGAGAAGACTTTCAGTCCATGTTCTGACACCTTCCAGCAGGGTCATCTGCTCCAATGGTTACTCCTCAAGAGGCTGAGAGAAAGGAACACCCAACCAAAAATCAAAAAAAGGGTAAGAAATATCATATCCCTGCAGATGAATTCTTGCCCATCTCTTCATTAGCTGGCTTGAAGATCTTAGAGAAAGCTTCAACTTTCTAGCTTTGGAACTTTCAGACTTGGGGTCCTTTTAAAAGATTGCAATCATTGTGTTATCATCTTGCCTAGCTATTATTTTAATCATTGTTTTCAATCCAAATAAGGCCTATTATTAAGTTGCTGGCATTGAAATGGTTAACCTTTATGTAATAGTTGCCAACTAACTACCAGTCCTGTATTTGATTGTTAAGATACCTTCTTGGTTTATTACCTTAACATCCTGGTTTGTTGCCCTAATATCCCAAAACTCACATAAATCAAATTTATGCCTTTTAGCTCAATCATGAAGATTATTTACAATCTCATCTGTTATCTTGCTCAGGGCAGAGTCACACGAGCTTTTCTTGACACATTTGCTGAGGTTTAAAAAAACAAAAACAGGACAGATTTTGGCACCCTCTTGTTACCAACTAACTAAAGACACAGGGGGGGTTTTATTTTCAGAGGGCAGACACAACAAAGCAAACAAAGTTTCTATTCCTTAGCAAATTGAGCATTGAGAATCTACCTTTGAAGCTTCCACAAGTTTATCACAGGCTCCACAGTGGTACAAGTTCTCATTTTCAAAGTACTCCTCTTCCACATACATATTCCACAGGGCCTCCTCCAAGCCAGCAACACCCTTGACTGCCACTGTTAGGTCTAGGAAATCTTCCTGTGCAGAAGTACAACCAAAAATAAATGAGGTAGTGAGTGGTGTTAAGTTCATGGTACATCAGAAAGACAAACTCATCCCATTCACCACAGTGGATGTGAGCTTTAGTTGTTGAAGGAGGGGGGGGGGAACCTCCTATATCCACTAATTAATTTAAACAAACCCAACCAAACTAGGACTGTAAAGATGTTTTCCTGTTGTCATCTCATTGTTTCAGCTCTCTGATAAATACACCTACCCAAAGCAACACTTGCTGACTCAGAAGATACAACACCACTTGTTTTTTTTACCTCTGAGTCACAGCCTGAAGTAGGTGGTTTAGAAAATGCCAGCCCAAACTTCACAGATTCATGCATCCTTTTCCTGTTTTCAGGTCTGCAGCAGCCTCACCAACACACACTACCTGGATTCAACCAGGCCACCAGCAACACCCAAGAAAGATGTCATGATTTTTTGAGTTTAAGAAAGAAAAGCACGTTTAAAAGTATCTTCAACAGGGTGAACAGAAAGCTATAAGGAATTCTTTCCTGTGAGGGTGATAAGACACTGGCCCAGGTTACCCAGGGAAGGTGTGGAACCCCCTCCCTGGCAGTGTTGAAGGGCAGGCTGGATGGGGCTTGGAGCAACCTGGGTTGGTGGGAGGTGTCCCTGCCCGTGCAGGGGGAGTTGGGACTAGATGATCTTTAAGGCCTCTTCCAATCCAAACCATTCTCTGATTCTACCCTGGAGCACCATCCAGCTTTACCTGTCTCTCACTGATATTCTTGCATTCCTTGCAGACAATCTGGTTGACCACAATCCCGTGGTACAAACGGTTGATAAGGTCATGACCAGAAGTTCCCACCAGGGAAGTTTCCAAAGCACTGAACAGGATCCGGTTTAACTCCTGCACGTCGTGCTGCCTCATCTCCTGCAGGAGACATCAGAAAAGAAGGAAGCTGAAGAAATAAACCAGTGCCATCTGCTTTGCTTATTGCTTAAAAACATGTATTAAGGGTGACAAAGACAGCTGCCTCAATGACTACTAATCTATTTACTACTTTGAGGAGTCATTTACTATCTTTTATCCTTATTCTTGATTTATTTGTGCTCTCTGAGCAGCTCAAAGTACATAAACTATAACCCACATAGACACTTTCACCTGGGTAGACACAGACTAAACTCTTAAGATACATTACACAGGTCAGTTTAGATAAGAATCTAAGTATTTCAAAACAAGAGCCCTAATTACTGTTGGAAAAACCCTGCTGTAGGAAACAAAGTAAAAGCTACTGAAATTGTATCTAACAAAACAATGATCTGCTGCTGCTGGTTGTCAATAATTGGCATGTTCTTCATGTGGAGACACATGAAAATACACCAACAGTTGACCCAAGTCAACACCATCGCCACAGCCTGAAGTACTTTCAGATACTTCAGACTTGAAAGACACAAAAAAAACCCCAGCAAATCTTCTCCATTCAGGAAGAAGTGTCACTGATGGTGATTGGTACCTCATGGCTGCTCCACCCAAAGCTCTCAGTCAGGTCAGCTGTAGATGCAGCCTGCTGGTCCAAGAGCAGAAGCTGAGCAAACAACCGTTGAAGTTGTAATGGAATTATTCGAACCTAGAAAGAAAACCCCCCCAAACAAACCCAACAGGTTAGAAAGAGGCTTCAAACCCATCCTTTAAATGAAAAGAAAAATAAGTTGGTACCAAACTTGCCAGAAACAAGCACTGTCTGTGGCTTTCAGAACACAGGTTGCTCAGTTCACACCTACACATCATTCCCAAAAATGGACAGGGCCTCATGTTATTGCAGCCAAAGGACCGAGTTTTGTGATGAAAACCTTTTGGCTTTATCACAAAACTGGAAGGATTTACATGAAACCATCACCACAGTGAAAAAGGACACCTCTCTGCTTTCTTAGGTAATACTAAACCCTAAGAAACCAGCTACAGAAACTTCATGACATACAGATGTAAATGCTCCTTGCTCAGAAGAGGGTTTGGGCATGGGGAAGGGTGAAGGTTACAAGTTTCATGAGCTGCCTGTGCTTATATTTCACTTCTACAAAAAGAAATTAGGAAAAATTAAGAACAATTTCTTCCTCAAGAGGGTTTTCAGGCACAAGGCTGCCACAGGGCAGTGGTGGAGTCCCCATCCCTGGAGGGATTTCAAAGCCATGAAGATGTGTTGCTGAGGGACATGAGTTAGTGGTGGCCTTGGCAGGGCTGGGTTCATGGTTGGACCTGATGATCTGAAAGATCTTTTCCAACCAAAACCATTCTAGGACCCCAAGAAAAAAAACCCACTATCTCCAAGCAAACAGCTGTACCACTTTAACCCAAGAACTACAGATTAAATTTCTGTAGCCAACTATAATTAACACTTTTGAAACAACAATTAAATCCCACCCTCAACACACCTTATGCATGGGTGGGCTGCTAACCCTTCAGATCCAGATCATCTTGGCTGCTCACATCTTTAGATTCACTTTTTTTTCTGGTAACAAATCTAAAAAAGACTACACAGACTTTGGGATTGTTCCTGACTGATCCTGCAAGGATCTCCACCCTCCAATTCAGCAGAAGCAGGCCCAATCTTCCTTTTGAAGCAAAACTCAATCTGCAAGTCAGGCTTTCATTCATGCTCAGAAGGGGCTCCATGCAAATTGAAAACCAATCACCTTCCAAATCAGTCTTCAGCAGTACCAAAGGACAAGGGAATTCTCCATACCTTTGCATCTGGTTTGCTGCTGTCATCCAGAGTCCCCAGCTCTTCAGGTCCCAGCGAGAACAACGCCTCTGTTATTAAAAAAGCAAGTCTTTTTTAAAAAAAAGGATAATGCCTCCTCTTTAAAGATTTATTGTATTTGAACTGTCAAGCATGATGCTAGTATTCTTTTGGCCATCATTCATCTTATTAATTTTGCAGACCAAGAGCTGAGTGTTCTATAATAACCTACTTGCAGTGAACTGAAAGAAACTGTTCCTGAAAACCTTTCACGAGAGAGGTGACCCCTGAATAAATAACTAGAAATATCACCATAAAATATCAACTCCAACATTATCCTGAGGAGACTGGGAGCACATTACCTCTAAATTCAGGTGTGAAAAGCAGGGTCTGCAGAAGGGAGTTGAGGTAGCAGGTCCCACCCTGATTTTTGATACCACTTAGGTTGGTGAAATCCCTGGGAGCTGGAGGTTCAGAATCTCTGGGCTTTGATTTCTTCCCTTTTCCACAATGGTTGGTTGAAAGAACAGAAAAATCCTCTTCAAATAAGTCCCCAAACATTGTGTAGGCAAAATAGTCCTTAAAAAAAAAAGATATAGAACAACCTATTTAAGACAAAAAATGTAATTGAATCCACCCACTCCTAAACCTCTGAGATGAATCTTTCAGCCCTGGCTGAAGAATTTGTTTATAAACTTGTTGCAGCTTCTTCTGTTCATCGTAAAAATGAATGTCAGGTCCAGACATAAGTGTGCTCCAATGTAAAGAAAAAGGATGAACTAAAAGCATTTCTGTTAGCTCAGGTCTAAACAGACTCTTAACTACAACCAACTACATCACATTTGCATTTTGCAGAAGCAAAAAACTGCATAGTGAAATCAAATGGGTCCTTCTAAACACCTGGAATTAACTAGTGCTCAAATTGCCCAGTTTCCTGCAGGAAAAGCCTCTCAAACTCATCAAAATCCCTGAACTGTCTCTAACAAGTCCATGTGCAAAAATAACCCCTTCTCTGTCTTGGCCAGTTGAGATGGGAAAAGTGTAATAAATGCCAAAAAATGCAGTGATATTTTACACAATTATTATCTCTGCTTCCAGACATTTGAGCCAGAAACTCAGTGACTACTAACTCTTCTAGTGGGATTGTGTTTTTTCCAGTCCTTTTTGGAAGCCTGGTGACCTCTTTGCATTCCCAACCTCAGCTCCCTTTTGTTTGGTCCTCACCATCCCATAATTTCATTCTGTATGCTGCATCTCTTCCATCAGCAGGGAACAACCAATGAGTTATAATCAAGCAGGGAATAATCATTCCCCTCTCTACCTCCATTCCACTTCCAAGCTTACAGCCCATGTTCCACTCCAACATCTCTCCCAGACAAAAGCCTCCACAAAGACAAAACCATTCCTACAATTCATTCCCTATCTTTGATTATCCTTATCTCCCTCCTCTGAATCCCTTAATTGCCTCCTTTCCCTGTTTTAGAAGTGAGAGGACCACATCTGCCTACAATGTTCAAGTTGTGTGCAAAGCATGGATATATATCTTTATTAAAACATTATTTTCCTATATTTTAATGCATTAAAAATCAAACCTTAACATATAATCTATCACAATTATAATTTATGCAGTTATAAACAATAAAGTTTTGTTCTCTTCCTGTACAGCTGCTGAGCACTAAGCAGCTTTAAGCAACATTTATTATCACCCCAAGGTCTCACTCTTGGCTGTTCCCTTCAAGCCCCAGCACTACACATACACACACACATGACATAAATATGCATATATTTGCATAACTAGCAGGTTGTGAGTGTCTCTGCTCCACCCTCCATCCCTCTGCACCCACCTCCAGTCAGTGTTCCCTGCTGCTCAGCCACCCATCAGGACTCTAAAGCTCCACTGATGACCCTTGTCTTTTTTGCAGCTGATTTCACAGGAAAAATTTATCCCCTCAGCTGATTTATCTCCCCCATTGTTGTGGGGTTTTCTCCCCTCTTTATGCTGTCCTGAACACAGGCTCCATGAAAGATACAAAGAACCTCCCCCCTCAATCCCCTCTGGCACAGCTGATCTTCCCTTTCCTACCTTTGAGCTAATTATTTCATCAACCAACAACCTTCTCCCCCAGTGCTAGCTGAGTTTCTTTAAGAGCCTTCAACAGGAAAGCTTATGGAAGGCCTTGTTTTCCTAGGGAAACTGTGGAAACTCCATCCCTGGAAGTTCTCCAGGTTGGATGGGGCTCTGAGTAACCTGGTCTAGTGGGAGGTGTCCCTGACCATGCAGTGGGGTTGGATCTAGATGATATTTTAAGGTCCCTTCCAACCCAAACGTGTCTGTGGTTCAAACAGTAGCTTTTCAGGCATCTCCTAAGAGTCTTTGTATAAAACATGAAGATCATTTTAGTCCTTCCCATAGTAAAGCAGTTTTTGGGCAAAAGGCCACACTCAGTGTTCCTTGTGCTTGCTCTGGAATGCTTCTTCAGCACTTGATACAACACTTTTTCCCCTCATAAAGCCCCACAAAAATCAAATTATTTGGCTGCAGATCCTTCTTAATGAACACAAGCAGGAAAACAAACCATTTTGATCTCTTCAATTAGGTTTTTTTCTCCTCTGAATGCAGCTCTTCACCTGAAAAACCTCCAAAAACCTGTCAAGGTCCCACCTCCCATGCTCCACAACAAGGTTTAGCACCCTTTCCAAACTGCCCCACAGCCTCAATTCCTTTTTTGTAGTCAGGCCTGCTGCACTTTAGCATTTCACTATCTCAAGATTATAACCCTTCCTGTTTTCCACCATCCTCATCCCAAGACTTGCTCCCAATAGGTCTGTTCACCAAAAAAAGGTACCTATCTAGGAGCCAGTGATCATCTTCCTGAGAGCTTGCTGTACCACCCACCACTCCAGAGCAGCACTTCAAAAAACAGCAGGATAGTGCCAAATCCTCCCTCGCTCCTTACTTCAGGATCCTCCAAGCACTGTTGCTAGCAGCTTCCTTCCCTCAAAAACCCCACAGCAACACAGATTAGAACAAAGCTCTGGATGATGTCTCTGGTCCAACACCCTCACAATGCAGGGCCAATTACTGTGAGGGTGGTGAGAGCCTGGCCCAGGTTGCCCAGGGAAGCTGTGGCTGCCCCATCCCTGGCAGTGTTGAAGGGCAGGTTGGATGGGGCTTGGAGCAGCCTGGGCTGGTGGGAGGTGTCCCTGCCCATGCAGGGGGGTTGGATCTGGATGAGCTTTGAGGTCCCTCCTAACCCAAACCAGACTGCGATTCTCTCAACTTCCAACACATCACTTCTTAGACTCTTGCTGAATAAACCAGAATAACCCTAGGAAAGGAGATCCCACACCCTATAATCCCGTGTCTCTGAAGGGAGCCTCCCATGTGGTAACTTGGCTCTGGCAAGTTCATCCCATCTCGGAGAGCCCACAACTCATCTCAGGGCACCTCTCATCCCACCCCGGGCCTCACCCCCATCCCACTCTGT